AAAAATAAGTAAACGTGAAAAATAAATTTGAGGATTTCGGGTCGGTTTGGTTTTACTATGCGATGCTCGCTCGGTTCGCTTTTATTCTATGCCGATTTAGGCCAACACTAATATGATATTGTCCGCTTTGGGCTTAACCCGCACAGATTTATTTTTGGATATTCTCCAAAAGGCCTCATACTAGTGAAGTTCACTTGGGACTTATAAGGTGTGTAATTTTCTTCACAACTTCCGATGTGGGACTTGGGTTTGCACCCGAACAATCCTCCCCTCAAACCAAGGACCAACCAATGGCCTTCCTTGCCCACCTTAACTACAACTGTCGGGACCGACCCAACGCCACCAGGAGACTTTCGACACAAGGCACATCCGCAGGCTCTGATACCATTGTTGGGACTAGGCCAACTTAACACTACTATGATATTGTCCGCTTTGAGCTTAGCCCGCACGGATTTATTTTTGGATATTCTCCAAAAGGCCTCATACTAGTGGAGTTGATTTAGCACTTATAAGGTGTGGAATTTTCAATTGTTGGGGTGCAAACTCAAGTCCCAGTTCCAACAAGTGGTATCAGAGCAAGGCTAAAAGCTGAACGCGGGTTGAATTTGCAATCCTATGTGTAAACAAAAATTGGTATAATTGCCTCAATCGGTAACGGATGGCTAACCCTTGAACTTCTATGTGTTAGATAATATTTGGGTATTCGTAATTCTTTATATATGATTAATTGTGTGACACAACTATCACGTAACTGGCTGCTCTAAGAGCGAGTAAGTAGCTGACCACTGATAGTTAGTGAATTCTTGTCTGACATACTTGGTTGTGTGCGTGAGTTGGCTATTATGTACCAAGCTGCTCCTAAAAGGAGTAGGTAGTTGACCTCTAATAGCCACTTTATGTGACCGTGTGAAATATTTGTTTATATGTCGTCTGTGTCTTCCTTCAATATTGTTCCATTCGATGGAAAAATTGATTTTTCAATTTGGCAACAAAAAATGAGAGGACTTCTAGTAACTCAAAAAGTTTCCAAAGCAATTGATGGTGATTATAATGCGTTAATGACTTATGAAAGAAAGACTGAAATAGATGAATGTGCTTATTCTCTGATTATCTTGAATTTATTTGATTCTGTGATTAGAAAAATGGGAAAACTTGATTCTACAAAAGAATTATGGGAAAGATTAGAAGAGCTATACATGGAAAAATCTTTGCTAAACAAACTATTTTTACTTGAAAAGTTTTTCTGATTTAAACTTGATTTGAATCGAAACATTGATGGAAATTTATATGTTTTTACAAAGTTAGTTCAAGATATAAAACAGACATACGATAAGAATAATGATGAACATACTCTTATTGTTCTTTTGCATGCAATTCCTGACTCTTATTCAGATGTTAAGTCTGCTATCAAATATGACAGAGATAGTATAAATCTTGAAACTGTCATGAATGGATTAAAAACAAAGAACTTGACTTGCATGCAAATAAAAGTAATAAATATGCTAGTGATGAAGTGATGTTTGCCAAGGGTATGCCACAAGTTAGGAAAAATACAGAAAACCAAAAGAATAGGGGAAGGAGCAACGAGAGATCTAAGTCTAAGTCTAGGCTAAGAATATAAAGTGTTACAACTGTGGGGAACCCAACTATTATGCTAAGCAATGTACACATCCTAAGAACTTTAGAAAACAACAAAATGAGCATGCTAATATGACTATAGGAAATGAATATGTAGGAGATATTTTCATGGTTAAAGGAAATTGTGTTGTTGTTAATACTATATATGCTAACGAGTGGTTGCTTGATTCTGCATGTACTTTTCACATGTCTCATTTGAAAAACTTTTTTTTCAAACTATAGGTCTATTTCGCATGCTAGTGTTTCAATGGCAAATGAAAAACTTTGTAAAATTGTTGATATATGTGATATTTGTCTAAAGTTCGACTTTGACTATGTGTTAACCTTAAAGAATGTGCATGTTCCTGATTTGTGCAATAACTTGATTTCATATGTTGCACTAAATGAAAGTGGATTAATAGGAAAATGGGGAAATGACATTATGAAAGTCTTAAAGGGTTCATTTGTTGCGTTTAAGGCTGTTAGACAAAACAATTTGTACGTTGCTTATGCTCAACCAAATTGCATGCCAAATGTGAATTCTGTTGTTAATGATAAAACTGAATTGTGACATAGAAGATTAGGTCACCTTAGTGATAAATGTCCCATGCCCCTAAAGTGCCTAAATGTAAAGATGTGCTTGAATATTTGCATGCTGACGTGTGAGATCCAACTCTTGTTCCTACTCAAGGTGGGAGTCGTTACTTTCTATCGGTAATTGATGAATTTTCACGAAAAGTTTGGATTTTTTTATTAGAACAAAAATCAGATATTTTTGAAATCTTTCAAGCATGGAAAAAGTTAATAAAAAACCAAACGGGTAAGCATATTAAATTTTTTAGAACCGATAATGATCTTGAGTTTTGCAATAAGTGACTTGATTAATTATGTGCTAAATCATGTATAACTAAACACAAGATAGTTCCCTATACCCCAGCAAAATGGGGTGGCGGAACGAATAAATTGAACTCTCATCGAAAGGGTGAGGAGCATGTTAACCTCTCAGGCATTTCAAAGTGTTTTTGGGGGGAAGCTGTGATTACGGCTGCATATTTAATTAATAGATCTCCTTCTGTGCCACTTAGGGGTAAGTGTCCTGAATCTTTTTGGTCGGGTAAGAAACTTGATCTTTCAAATTTGAAAGTATTTGGTTGTGCTACATATGCTTTATATAAAGGTGATAAACTTGAACCTAAAGTTGTGAAATCTTTTTTCTTAGGTTATCCTTTAGGAGTAAAAGGATATAGACTATGGTTAAAAGATGAACCAGGTTTCAAAGTACTAATTAGTAGAGACGCCACCATTAATGAAAATGAGATGCCTTATCTGAATGTGCCAAATACTGAAATTAACGTGACTTCTAATGAGATTGAGCCAAATAAATTGGAAAGCTCTGAAAAACTGCATGACAAATCTGATTCTCATATTAGATTGCTTGAAAATGTCTTACCTAATGCTAAAAATTTTGAATCAGAATATGAGAACATAGAAAACTACCAACTGACGCGAGATAGGACTAAAAGAACTACTAAGCAATCGACTAGATTTGATGAATATGACTTGACTTCCTATGTTTTTAGTGTATTCGAGACGTTAGATGGAAATGAACCTAAGTCCTATGAAGAGGCTTGAAAATCTAAACATGCTGAAAAATGGTTAAATACAATGCGTGATGAAATGAATTCCTTGCATGTTAACATTACGTGGATTCTTGTTCCTAAGCTTGCAAATTGTTCTATTGTTGACTGCAAATGGATTTTCAAAGTCAAAAATGAAAATAATAATGTTAGATTTAAAGCTAAGTTGGTAGCAAAAGGGTTCACTCAAAAGGAAGGGATTGATTACACTGAAATTTTCTTAAATGTGGTTAAATATACTACTGTTAGGATTATGTTTACCTTAGTTGCTCACTTTAATTGGGAATTAAAACAAATGGATGTTAAAACTGCTTTCTTACATGGTGATCTAAGTGAGAAAATTTACATGAAACAACCTGATGGTTTTGTAGATAAAAGTAAGCCTGATCATGTGTGTCTACTGAAGAAATCTTTGTATAGTTTGAAACAATCTCCTTGTTGATGTATTTTTTCAACAATAAAAAGTAAAATCCGAAAATAGGAAATTATCTTCAAATTTGATATATTTAGCGTTTGAGATTAGAAATCTCTAAACACTGTACGGTATAGAAAATAAACTGGAAAATAAAACTACAGACTGGAAAATAAAGTGGTGATCCCCAAAAGAAATTCTTTTGAATTTGATTTTGATTGAAAATGATTGAAGATAAAAACTCCGCATCCTTAAAAATTCCTTCAAGAAAACGTTTCAGAACCGTCGCTAACAACCGCCGTCAACCGCCCACAATGAAACGTTTTGAAACGTCGTCTGGGCGGTTACGGCAACCGTCCACAAGGTCTTCCTTTGTCGACACGTGTCTTACACCGTCTCGCCAAACGCTTCTAACAATTCCATAACTCAACTGGCCCGACCGACCATTCCAGAGACTAACTGGTCGCTAGACCAAACGACTTATTGGTCGCCCATCAAGCGACCAAATCTCTCCAGATGATTCAATGGTCGCCCCAACCAAGCGACATGTTGGTCCGACCGCAGACCTTCCGACTTATTGTTCCAACCGCAAACCTTCCGACCTGCAGACCATCCGACCTGCAGACTTTCCGACCTATGGACCATCCGACCCGCTAATCAACCGACCTGCCAAACCGACCGTGGACCTTCCGACCTGCCTATCCGACCGCTAACCAACCGACCTGCCCAACCGACCACGGACCTTCCGACCTGCCGATCCGACTGAGGACCAACCGACCGAGGACCAACCGACCTGAGCGCAAATTTTTCTCATTTTCCATCCAACTTCGTGTCTAACTTCTTTTAAGATCCTGCTATCCGTATTATTATTATTATTATTATTTTTTGTGTGTAACAACTACAATTCAATATAATACTAATATTAAAAAATCTACGTGCAAAAAAAAAAAACTACCCGGACGGAGGGAGTATCAATATTGCTTAAATGCCGTGTCCAACTCAATTAAAACTATATTTATGAGACGGAAGGAATATAAAAAATAAAAAATAGATGTTTAATTTAATATTTTTGGAGAAAAAAATAAAATTAATAGTATTTTTTTGGTGAAAATCTCCCGAACAAACACACACTCAAAAGCTCCATCTAGAAGTACGGCTATGAAATTACATTAATGCCATTGCCTAGCGAATTTATTTATGAAAGGCCCGCCAGAATTGAACGTGACAAAGGTCAACTTTAATACAGTAGTCAAATACCTGAAAAGACAAAAATACCCCCAGTCACGTTAAATGACCAGCGAACGACACCGTCACCATTTCACCGTTCATTTCAATCATTTATGTTTGAACATCAATTTGTCATTATTAATAAAAATGTAAGTATAATTAAAGTTTCCAGCTAAACACAGCTCGACGTTTAGTCCGACGAATTTTCCTTCTTCAAATTTCTTCCCTTCTACGGTCATCAGCGCCATTGATCTCTCTCAGTGGCTGATCTGGTGTACATTGGAGGAGCCGGTGCATAAGTCAGGTATGGATATGACCTTAATTTTGTGCGTGCATTTTCGATTTTGTGCGAGATCTTCAAGTTTGCTATATTGCGCGCAGCATCTGATGTTGCCGAACTATGCTCAGTTCGATCTCTCCCTATCGGTTGTCGGTTTGTCAAATTTGTATTTTTGTTGGCTTGTAATTATAATTATATACTGTGTTGGTGATGGATGGCTGTTGTCTGTTTGGATGTTTCACGGCTTCCATTTCTGTGTTATAATTTGATTGATGATTGAAATGAATTGGAACCCGTTATTGTCTCGGCAGAGGTTCTCACTGTGATTCAACGGAAAGCAATCTGGAAAATTTTGGAAACTGTGACACTATATGTGAGTAGAATTTACCTTTTCTGTGTGCAGGAAAGCACGTAAACAAGGTTTGAAAATCCAGTTTCTTCGTAGTGAAGAGTTAAATGAAGAAAGCAATTGATCAAACTGTCCGTGACCTGTAAGTTTTGTTATTTTTACCTTTAGAGTTGTTTCTGTGGGAGCACATTGGCATTTATGTTTGAGCATCTTTGGTTTGTCAATGCAAATATTCACATGGAAAATATTACATGGGAAGATGTGTTCACAATTATTATTGAACTGTTATTCTTCCTATATTTGCACCAGTAAGCATAATAGGATGTGTTCACTTGTGTTTTCGTCCTTATTTTCCCATTATGCAATCAACCACGAAATACATTTGTCCACCCTATAACATCACACAAAAACTCCATTTTCCGGTTAAAATATTATATCCAACACCTATTTTCGAGTCTAAAATATTAAAATGCTAAGCCAATCCGAAACACAAATAAATACACCCTTAATTTTTTTTATATCATCTATGATGATTTGATCAAGATCTTAATAGTTGTAAAATGGATACAGCTTGACATTTTGATGCCACACATTTAATTGTTTGTATTTCTTGTTGCAGCAAGAGAGGAGTCAACAAAAAGGTTCTTAAAGTACCTATAATTGAGCAGAAGGTAATTATCTTCTTTCTCTTCCTTTATTTTATTGTTCTCTGTTTCTGTTTTCTATATATGGATCTATTTGGAAATCTGTTCAGTTTTGAGAAAGTAGACTTCTGTGCCTTCTATTTGGGTAATGCAGTGAATACTTGTTTCAAATTTTACTTAAAAATTATAGAGAGAGTAAATTGTTGAAAGATGCACATTGCCTTCTGTCAGATGGATTTTGATGTTAATATTAGCATGTGCAGTTAGTAGGATGTGTGAGTATTGTATCTAGATGATACAATGATCCTACATGTGTCTGTAATGTGTATTATGGGTAAATGATTTGAAACATGATTAGATAGAGAATGTAAATGAGAAAAAATGGGCATCATATGTTTTTGTTCATGCTCAATGGTTAATATGAGTTGATTTTCTGTTATAACAAATTAATGAGACAATAGCTGATCCAGTGGTTGCTGCAGTGGCTGCACATAGCTTTGAAAAACTACATAGTGTTAGCCTATATTCAAATCATCTACTTGAGTACCTTATATACAATCTTGCTGCAGTGTTTGGTGTGACCTCAGCACTTTCTGGTTTGTGGTAAATTTGTTTGTGGCTTCAATATTCAGGTTCTTGATGCAACTAGCAATGAATCCTGGGGTCCTCATGGATCAGTTCTTGCTGATATTGCTCAGGCAACAAGAAACTAGTAAGTGTTAATTGATTCTGGTATTTCAAGTGTCTGCATTCAACTAGATGATACTTACTTTTGATTTTTGACAGTCACGAGTATCAGATTATCATGTCGATAATCTGGAGGCGTCTAAATGATACTGGAAAAGATTGGCGGCATGTATACAAGGTTTGTTTCTATTCATCCCTTGCTTCCTTCACATGCTTGCCCAGGCACCCCAAAGCATACTCTGAGAGATTTTTTGTGTTCTATTTTTTAATGTGGTTTGGTACATTCCTTTTCCGGAGATCTTTATTTTTGTTGATGGGATAATTTTCATACTCAAATTCTGGGGCCTATCCTTGTTGTGCTTTGTTTTTCTCGAATGTTTTAACCATGCTGCTCTTTTAGCTGATATATCTTGACAAATTCATTGGTTTTTTTATTTTTTATGCAGGCTTTGATTGTTTTGGAGTATCTGGTAGGCCATGGGTCTGAGCGTGTAATAGATGACATTAGAGAACATGTATATCAGATATCTGTGAGTGTCTTTCGACTAAATTCCTTTTCTTCTGCTGTTTTACTGAGAAGTATGTTTAACTTGTGGTATTTATCATGTTTAACTTGTGATAGACATTGTCGGATTTTCAATATATTGATTCCCATGGGAAAGATCAAGGAAACAATGTTAGAAGGAAATCTCAGAGTCTTGTAGTTCTTGTAAATGACAAAGAAAGAATACAAGAAGTTCGAGAGAAAGCTGCTGCTAATAGGGATAAGTAAGTGAGCTGTGTGAGTTGTTTGATTCCATGCAATATACAACTAGCTCTTTAAGTTGTAATTGTTTAATTGATGCATTTTCCTGGTGACCTTGATATATATATATGATATTATGTGATGAGGTATCAAATTGTGGCATGTGATAATATTTGTATCGAACTTTATCTTTGCTATAAATTTTTTGGAAGGTGTGTTATGTGTACATAATTGGCGAGCCCCTACTCTTTCTTGACATTATTTAGATGCCATTGCTGTTTTCTTTTTTAAGCTGGACAAGGTAAAACAATGCTCCTTTGGGCAGTAATGCTCTGTCTCTTCTAAACTCCATAATGGGAGGAAATGAATATTAGTCCGATGTGCTTTGGATTAACTTCATTTGAATAAAACTACCTTTTCCTTTTGCACATGCAAAATGATGTAGAAAGAAGCTAGGTGAAGGTAGCATGCAAAGAGTCATGTTGACTCTACTCTCTTTTTCTAAATTGTGGCAGAAGATTTTACATGGATTTTATGTTTTCTCAAGGGTGATAATTATGCATTTTGACCTATTTCTATCACCTGCAAGTTCAATCACTGTGGCATCATACGTTTTGATCTATGTAAAATATATTGACCAGGTCTGTCACGTCTCTTGAGCAATAATCTTTCTCCTTGGAGCAACTTTCCTGGAAAACAACTGAAGCATGTGCATATTAGTTTATAGATTTCTCACTAATGCTCAATAATTTGTGACTGGTTTACTCTTGATTGGTGCTATTATTCTTCTTGATGAATGGAGGACAACAAACTCAATACTTGGTTCATTGCATTATAGCCTAGATTGTGTATAACTACAGTAATGAAATTCCTATTGTTATTTTCCCCTGCAATGGCATATGCATTATTTATTCTATTATCCTGCTTGCTCTTTTGATTTGTGCTTTGGAATAATTGATATTATTTGATTTTTATTTTAAGTTGAATTTCTTATGCTTGCCTATTTATCTGAGTTCGTTAATTTGCATAATGTAATTAGCATATGCAAAGGAGTTGTAGTTTCCATTCAATTGTATGCTATTTGTTTCCACAGGTACCGCAGCCCTGCCACAGGGAGTATGTATCGTCCTGGCTCAAGTGATCATGGAGACAAATATCATTATGATCGTTATGAAGGTCGATATGCAGATCGGGGTGATAATGGCAATGGATATGGAAGAGACAGAGATTGGGGTTCCAGAGATGATGATAGATATGGTCGTCATGGAGATTCCTATGGCCGTGAGGGAGAGAGGTATGATAGGCACTACGAAGACCGTTATCGTTCAGATGGTTATAGGGATGATGACTATCGTGGGAGAGGTCAAACCACTGAGGACTACAATTACAATTCTGGACGTAAAAGTGCTGATCAAGAAAGGGATCGTACAACTGAGGGAGATGGTCAACTTTCGTCCAGGTTTGTTGTGGGGCACTATTTACTAAATTATCTGGGCTTAGATAGACAACACTGTTCTTTGTTCTTGTATTTTTTAATTATAAGGATGGAATTATTATGACGCTTAGTATCAACAACAATAACAATGTTTAAAATTTAAGAGTTAGAAATGTTCTATTTCATAATTATTATTTTGTGTGCAATTTGAACTTGAGAATGTAAACCACATAGCTATTGTGAGAGGCATTCTTTATGTTGAATTTGATGATCTTTACTTTTGAATCAAGTAAATAAATTGGGAGAAGAGATGTTAAATAAACCTTTACAGAAATAAGAAATATAACCCAACTGTAATTCAGACATCATGCATTGTCATTTGACCTTAGTCTAATACATAGCAACTGGCTCAAGGAGGTTTTAATTCTTATTTAGGACTTTTCATTTCAGAGTTGGAAGTAACCCGATCTATTTAGAATGAATTGTTTAGTTGTTTCTTGATTTCTTCTTTGTGTTTGTCATTTGCAAGTGATGTGTTGCCTATGCACTGCAAGAGGATTCGAATAATGATGAACAGCTCTTTGGTTGTGATTGCTTTGATTTCTAATTGCCTTTATATTGTTACTTCTGCTTATTTACGCATTTTGCGGACAACTTATTAATCAGCTCATTTTTTTCCTCTTCCAGAGACAGTGGTGCAAAAGCTGATGATCATGCTCAAAATGGAAGGTAATTGTAACGGACCACTTTGGTTAAATGAAATCCTAAATCTGATTGCTTTCTAAATGATTATGGTGTTCCACAGGTTTGATCGCAAGTCCCCTGATCAAAACCCTGGGTTGCCACCTAGTTATGAAGATGCTGTTAGTACTATGCGTGGTCCTACTAGCAGTGATAGGTAAAAAGCATGTACAATCCTCACTCTTTGATATAATCTGAATTCGTTCTAAAATTGATTTCAATATCAGGGATGGAGGCTTTTCACTGCAAAATGCCCCTCAAAAAGTTTCTCCTCCTGTGACCAGCCCAGGCCATGCAGTTGCACCTGCTCCAATTGCGACTGTTTCGCCACTTGCTCCAGCTACAGATCCCACTTCTGCATCTTCACTTGGTTCAGTCCCAAATCCTGCTCTATTTCAGTCTGGAGTTTCACATAATTACAATGAGGTTGTTGAAGTTGATGAATTCGATCCAAGAGCTTCATTATCAGGTATGCCTATATCAATAGTAGATTTGAAGATGGCAATTTAGTTTCTTTGTTCCAAGTGGTTACAGAAAATTTATTTGAGCGGGTTGGGGGATGCCTCATGTGTATAGTTATATCGTAGTACTCTTCATGTACCATAGGTAGAGATGGCATCGGTTGAATACTTTAAACGGGTTAAATTATTCAACCCTAATTCGATTAATTTATTATCGTGTCGGGTTCGTGTTGATTCGTATACATAATTAAGTCGAAATTCTTGATTCAAATTAATTTTTTTTTTTTTTTTTTGTATAGTCATGTTATGTTTAGCTTTTATTGGTTCAAGGGTGTACAATGAATTAGGTTGAATGATTTAAAATTGAACTTAGTTTAAATTAATATATGAGCAAATTATTAAATTATAATTATTTTATATATATAATAAATATATTAATCAATATTAATATATTATAATCGGTTGTCGTGTCGGGTTCAAGTTGATAGCCTCAACCCTAACCGGATTTGTTTATTATCGTGTCGAGTTTGTGTCAACTCGTATACATAATCGAGTTGAAATATTTGACCAAACTCAATTATTTCGTATCGGGTTCGTGTGGGGTTGTGGTTTTGGGTCAGTTTTTGTTAGCTCTAACCATCGGTGCGTATCATTATATTCAGATTTATTATGGCATGTGTTTTTCCAGTGACAATAGTTGTTTGTGGTGTTTAAAAATCTGTGCATACTAGAATGAAGAAGGAAGCTCACCTGAAGTTAAACCTGCAATATTCTCTTCATTTTAATGTAGCATCTAAATTGTGGGGAACACCTAGCACTTTGATTAACACATTTCTCAAGGCATAGGGATTTGACAGTGTCTTAGTAAATTTTATTATCAAATTCAATCTTGTTTGGGCCATTTATGTGCAACATGCAAAAATCTGTAACTTTTAAGAATTAAGAAATTTCAAATTTCTAATGAAGGCTTCTGAATCTCAATATTGTTTTGAACCGAAGGTATTATCTGAGAGTATGTAGATTCATCCATATCATCTATACATGGATTGGTCTTACAGATTGCATCCTTATTAGCTACACATGGACAAACAACCAACCGAATGAAATGTCTTCCTACTTTATTCGCATTCTCTATGAACCACTGATCTTTGACATCATATTTTACTCATTTTGAGCATCTGCATTTAAAACACTTTTTACTTTTTTGTAAAGGCTGTTATGCTATAGAAGAAAGGTCAATGAAGAGGATTGGTTTGGCCTGATTCATATAAGCATAGAACTAGTGATGTTCAAGTTGTCTTTCAGTTTTTGTGTTTGTAGACGATTGTCTGTACAGTTCTCACCTCATGAAAGACACAGAATAATCCCCCCACCCACTCTTTGTTTTACATTTGGCTGCATATAACTGTTTGTGTTTCTCGGAGATGATCAATAATATTTTTATACAGTGATTTGTATAATAGTTGTGACCTAACACTTAATTCTTATTTCTTTCTTTAAAAATATTTTTGTAGCTGCCCCGGCTACATCAAGTGTAAGTGCTCCGGCTGCATCTGGTGTGGAATTAGATTTTTTGGGTTCGTTGACTGAATCTTTTTCTTCGAATTCACTTGCTCTTATCCCTTCTAACTCTCCGGGCGTGAGCCATGAAGCTAATGGTCCAGAAAGCATGAATCCTGGGCCTTCATTTGCTGCTGCATCATCACTATCCACGTTCAATACTCAGGTAACTTAATGCCTTAGATAAGGTGATTTTTTGTTCTTTGTGATGTAGTTCTCCACTGTTTTGTAATTTTTTTGCTTACAAATGCTTTATTTTTACTACTACTATTATTATTATATTTCTGCCCAAATCCTGATTTTTTAAGGACTTAGGTTGTGGACATTTTCTGTTTAGTCAAGGGTGTGTTTGTTTGGGGATTGGATTTAAATACACTATTCATTTTCTATCAAACACCTATTTTTTATTTTTTATATTATACTAAAAATCAATTTTACATTCAAAACATCACATCAACACCTATTTATATCACATCATACAACTATTCAAATTCAAAATTTTTACTAGTCAAATCCCAAATCAAAATCCAAACCCCAAACAAACACACCCTAAATGAGTTTTAAAATGTAAGCTTCGGGAAATTGTAGAATACTTGAGGCTGTGCTTGAATAACACTCCCATTAGTATATGTGTGCTCATATCTGGAATTAACATCTCTTTGGTGGGCCAGAAATAACATTCCTTAAGTTATATATATATATATATATATGTTCCTTTTTTATATGCACAACGTTGTTACACTAATCGGACATGTTATATGAAAGTCAAAAAGAAGGCATGAAGATTGAGTCTTGAATCATTGTATGTGTTAGCCAATGTGGAACTTTAGATAATTCCCTTGCTGGTTAACAATTATATTAAATTTATATTATGGTTTCTTAAGTCTGTGCTTTTCGAATTTTGCTGAAGGAAATGTTGTGTTTTTGCAGTCTTTGGATGATCCTTTCGGGGATGGTCCATTTAAAGCTACTTCTTCAACAGAGAGTGCATCAATTCAAACTCAGATCCCTCTACGCCCAAATCCCATTAACTCTAATTCCACCCATAGCCCGGAAGCTGCAGAACCACCTTCCCAAAGGCCTGCAAATGAATTTGGTGGTAATTACCATAATGCAACCTCAGATCCTTCAGGGTTTCCGAAACAGGAGTTCTCCATCCCCAATCCGGAGGTTGATATACTAGCTGGCATTCTCTCTCCGTCTGCCCATTCATCCTTTGTCAACACACAAGCCCAGAATGTGTCATCTCCTCAAACCAGTCAATCCATGTCAGAGGCTGGAGTATCTTCTCTAACCAACCAGGCGACATTGCCAAACAGCTTCCAAGCACAACCGGGTTATCCTCTTCAACCTGCTTCATCTGCACTACAAGCAGGTCAAACCATGCCATTGTCCTTTCCTATTCAAGCTGGCCGGTCATCACAGATGGGTTTCGGCTCCACGCAGTTATCACATGCACCACCGCATGCTAACTTCTATGGAACTTACAATTCTCTATCAATAGCCCCGGCTTCTGCTTATACAAACTCTGCCCAAATGCAGTCAACCAATCAATCATCAACAGGTCTTGCTGCTGCAGCACCTCAGTCGTCTACAGACAAGTTCGAGACAAAATCCAGTGTTTGGGCGGACACTCTAAGCCGTGGGCTCGTCAATTTGAATATATCCGGACGTAAGCATTCCCATTTCTGTTTCTGTTACAAATGTTTATATTTTTACACTTGCTGATTATTAAATCTAACTATGCAGCTAAAACAAACCCACTGGCTGATATTGGAGTTGATTTTGATGCCATAAACCGGAAAGAGAAAAGAATGGAAAAACCGTCATCTACAGTAACATCTACTGTTACTATGGGGAAAGCCATGGGGTCTGGTTCTGGCCTAGGCCAACCCAGTACTGGGGCTCTAAGGCCCTTACCAAACTCGATGATGAATTCTGCCGGTCCGGGTGCTGGGATTGGCATGGTTGGCTATGGAGTTCGCCAACCTATGGGTATTGGCCTGGGAACAAACATGCAACAGCCGATGGGATTTCCGTCTGGAGCCGCTATCCCGGGAGCTTATAATAGTCATCCTATGATGGGAACTGGCAACTATAGTCAACAGCCGTATGGAGGCTATCGATGACTGGTAATCCCCGGGTGATGTTGCCAGGTACATGAAATAAGCCGTCTTTAAATGCAGTTTTGCAAATTTGCATATATGAAATTTTATTTTATTTTTTGTGTATCTTTATTATAATCTTCATGTTGGGTGTGTAAAGCGTGTGCTTGTTTGTGTTCATTATTTCATCCTATTTTTGGTGTCCTTGCCAATGAGCTTCTGGCTCCTTAGCACTCTAAGCAATTCAAAATTTTGTGTATGTTGCCAAATATGCCTCTTATTTTTGTGCTGTATGTATGTTTGTGTGTATTGGTTTACTCTACATGGTCTTTGGTTCATAGTTTCAAAATTTTCATTATTTTTTTCTTGGGTTCATAATTTCCATTTTCAGATTCCGCCTTACTTGCATATCATAATTAAATAGCCCAGGCTAACCTCTAAATAGGCCAGGTCTATTTTATAAAACTAAAGTCTGAGCGTGGCCTATCGGCCTATTAAAATATATATATTTAAGGCCTAGGACTGACCTACTTTTCAAACTTAATATTTGTAGAAAAATATATACAATTATTTATTATATATAATAAGTCAGTTAAAATAAATTAATTTTTTAGTTTTATTGTCACCAAATATAATTTTTTATAAATCATAAACAATTAAAAACATAATATTTATGTATATTAGATAAAAAAAAATACTATATAAATATATAAACAGGCTGGCCTGATAGGCCAAAATGGCTTTTCGTAAAGCTTAAGTATATTCTATTTATTTAAAAAAGCTTACAAATATATTTGAATTTAGCCTTGTTAGTAAACAGGCAAAACCAGGCCTTAGGCAGTCAAACTTAAGGCCCAGACAGGCCGCTTGACTTATTTTCATCCCTAATAACAAGATGGATTGGACTGAGTTTAGGCCACGTACAATTCAATAAAATGCCAAAAAGAATGCAAGCTCAAGGAATGAATTGGCCCAATTAATTATCTATGAATCTTGGGCTATTGGAATTGAGAAGTGAATGAGTTTAATAGATTTAAGATTGATGGAATTAGTGGAGTAAGTGGTTATATATAAGGGTGTGCGGTGGTTACAGGGAATGAATGAAAGATTAAATTTTTTTGAGGTTACAAACAATTACGAAAGCACAATGAGTACAATCATGAGAGTCTTAATGTAAAAATCAATGAGATGATCGATCCGCCCAACTCATTCTACAAAATTTATTAATTTTCTTTTATCTTTTCTTGCGTCTATTGATTTTATTTTGTAGAATAAAGTTAATTCCATCTTAAATCAATACAATTCAATTTTTATTATCTATATGTTAAATTTATTGCATACTATCAGGAGTTCGCATTGAGTGCCCGGAAACTCACAAATTCTCCCGGCGATAAGTTTTAGGCTGAAAATATTGAATCAAGCCAACATAGTTAGCACATCCAGTGGTTTGAAAAGATTTATGTGGAGAAGCTCCGCTTCGGTGTAGAGGGCAACATTTCATCCCAATAGATGGCGACTACCTTCATTCATGGAAAAATATAATCTGCAGGCAAGTTTTCGAGACATTGGGCATGATATGTCGCGTCAAGTGGCCGGTATTTCCGACATAGCACAAATAATAAAGTGGCCGTCATTTGACAAGAAAGGAGCCAACAATGTCCAACATGTGTCAAATTGAGGTACTTGGATGAGAAATAATTCGAGAATATTTGCAAATAATGCAAATTGAACTTAGAATTTATGATCATATTAGAGTAGCCAAATGAAAGACAATAAGATGATTGAGTTAACTATACGAGTTCAGTATGGTCAAAACTTCAATATTGCTCTAGATGAGAGTCTTCGATTCCATGAATGTTGGTGTATTTTAGAGATTCGAATTGATTTGAAAGAGAAAATTATGAGTGACATACAATACACTTCATTTAGTACATCTTGAAAGGTATTAAAATAAATCAAGATTTACGTCAACAATTTTGTGGAAGAGCATCAAGAATAATGTCGCCAAGTTTGTTGCACATTGATTGAATTGTCATAAGATGAAAGAAGAACATCATAGACCAATGGGGTTGCTACAAACTTCAAAAGTTCCATTATAGAAATAAGACTTTTTTGCAATGGATTAGTGATTGAACTCTCCGGTGAAGTTAGGAACATATGAAATTGAGAGATTATAAATAGATTTACCAAGTTAATAGTGTTCATTCTGGTACATGTGACTTGGAGTATATACATATTGGCCAAATTATATATTCATCATGCAATTAAATGGCACAATATTGTTGAGGTGATCTTATAGGATCGTGATACATATTTCTAATCTCGATTTTGGCAAATACCGCAGGAGGCCATTGGTACTCAATTACATATGAGTATTGTGTTTCATCTCTTTATTGATGGTCAATTAGAAAGAACTATTCGTATTATGAAAGATATGTTAAGAGCCTGTGCGATAGGATTTCAAAAAAATTGAGAGGACCATTTAGACTTGGTGAAATTCTCGTATAATAAAAGTCTCAAGCAAGAATTGGTATGATTCCTTTTGTAACTCTTTATGGCTGAAAATACAGGACTCTATTGAGTTGAGATATAAGATAAAGATAGTCCAAGATATTAAGTCCTGAAATAACCGAGAAATCAAAAATCAAATTTAAGTTATTAGAAATAAGATAAAGGTAGTCCAAGATCACCGAAAAAAAGTTATGCAATTGTAGAAAATGTTGGAAAAAATTTTAAACCGCGAAAGTATCAAATAATTATCGAAAAATAACATTCGATATCCAAATTATTTATCGGAATTAATTCAATAATCAATCGAAATAAATTCGATAATCACGATAATTTTATTGAAATAAATTCGATAATCAATAATAATTTATCGAAATAAATTCGATAATCAAAATATCGAAATAAATTCAATAATCAATTTATCAAAATAATTTTGATAATCACAATAATTTAGTTTTATCGAATTTAATAAATTTATCGAAATAAATTCGATAATCAATTTATCAAAATAAATTTGATAATTACAATAATTTTATCGAAATAAATTCAATAATTTATCAAAATAATTTCGATAATTACAATAACTTTATCGAAATAAATTCGATAATCAATTTATCAAATAAATTTGATAATTCCAATAATTTTATCGAAATAAATTCGATAATTAATTTATCAAATAAATTTGATAATCAAAATAACTTTATCGAAATAAATTTGATAATTATGTCGAGTCGAGGTGGAACCTCTTTCCGTAAAAACGAATACACCCCGGTAGTGCCTCCGGTTCGTGGCGTAATGTTCCCAAAGAATAAACGACGTTCGTCTCCGAATTAGGTGACACCCCAATATTTTGGAGCTCCAACGAATTAAAATAAGGAGACTGAAGCTATGTAGGGAAGCTAGACAATTATAGATTCCGGAGCTGGCCGGAAAACTCGCCAGAAATTGAGTGGGGTGGAGAGAATTAGAGAGGAAGAACTCCTCTTGGTGTTGTCGTTGGTATTGTTTGAAGTGGTGGAGAGAGCCTTTTATAGGCACCTCCATCAAGAGGGGCAATTAACGCCCGAGTCGAAACCGCCGTAACCGACGATAATTAAATTCCGGTAACGTCCAGCCATAAACACCATACTTAATTCCGGTTATAAACATCAATTTAATTCCGGTCATAAACATCAATTTAATTTTAGTCATAAACACCAAATTTAATTCCGGTCATAAATATATTATTTGAATTTCAAATAATTATTTATCATATATGCATGTAATTATCTGGTCCGGACAGGTGGCACGCGCGCCTGTGGCTTACCGGCATTTATATGCTTAACCACACTATCAATAACCACCATACAACCCACATGCATTTTAACTCACCGAATAATCGGTTCCGAAAATTTTGAATTTAATTTAAAATTAAATTCCACCGATTAAATAATTAACCGATTTTTCAACAACCCCCACATGAGTGAAAATGCTCATTAATAGGACAACACACAGCTTAGTCTAGAGATATCAACACGTCGGGATAGGTAGCTTGTGGCTTTGAACCTTCCTTAGTCAATGTTACTGTATGTACCGGTGGTTTAGTTGACACGATGCATTGAACTATTCCACATCTGTGTACATTTTAGTCAATAATATTGACATGCCGTTATTTCAACCTTATTTTGTTCTCACGTTTTGATCCGTTTCGGCCATGGATCACTGTTTGGATTCATAAGTGTTTCATTTGAAGCGGCCCTCACTTCCCACTTATATAGGTAATCCTGTCTTAAAGTATTCAATTATACTTTTAGGGTTATTAAGAGTCAGTGACTCAATCTCACCACTTTGCACATTGTAACACTCGTAGCTATTTAGGGAATGGTAGTCGAGTGTTCGTGCCGAACTATTACAGTTTAGTTTTCCCATTGAACCAAGACTTGGGATCTCCAAGTGATTTGGTTGGGTTACCACTGTAATTGTCTCTTAATTCATGGATTTCAAATCCATTCCCTTTAGCAATACATTTGATCAATATAACCATTTGGTTTAGCGGATCCGCAAGATTTTACACTGACATATAGTCGATATGCATAACCCCACTAGTGATCAATTGTCACACAGTGTTGTGTATGTATCGGATATGTCGGGATTTACCATTGTAAAACTCATTCTTAGCCTTTGCTTTTGCATTTTGGCTATCATAATATATCATTACCGGAGGTATGATTATTTATTTATTTATTATTTTTATTTTTCCAAATGGATCGAGCTTTTACATGTTTATTTCATGGACTTTCACGAAATTGCTTCACCTCCGGTCATAAAGACATATCCGTTTGTAGACAATGAATATTTCGTTTCAGATATTCCGTTAGCATTACAATACCTTTCAAGTATTGGAGGATATCTCGTGTAGTGTATGCCAAAAGTCGAGAGTATACTTTAAATACTTCAAGACTCTTACATCTACCGCTTTCTCCACAATTTTTTGTTTTTGGAGACGGTATTGCACCCCTACACTTCAAATATTTGTATAAAGGTTTTTTGTATTTCCACAATTTATAAGGAACTTTATCATTACTTTTGAGTGGAATTTTATTCAGAATACGTCTTACAGTTAGAACTGCCCCCCACAATTTTTAGGTAATTCTGAATAAATCAACAAGGCATTAATGCATTTCGTAATGTCATTCGATTATGGCGAGTATGATGTCATAGTCCGATGAATTATGCAACATAATTCTTCATACAGAGCTACATATTTATCTCCTCAATCACTTCGACTGCCTTGAAATCACAGCTTAGTTGATTCGCTGCCTTACTATTTTTATTATTATATATACATATTTTTTTAAGGCATTATTGCTTATCTCTTTTCCCTTACCGGATAAGATAACAATATCTTGTGCAATCATTTATTAAGGTGATTAATATATATATATATTTTCACCTCAAATTTGCATGTTTTTTAAATCACATACACTACAAGAAAAAATCATTTTTGTAACAAAACGTTTTTATCTCTAAATCTACTTTTTCCGTTACTAATGACATTAGAGACAGAATTAGGAATGAAATTACGTTAGCTACGTGAACTTTAGGGACGGAATTCCGTTACAAATAGATCATTTTTTTGTAGTGATATATCAGTGTGAATTAAATCTAATGGCTTCACTTTTTTTTCCTTTTTTTTTCCGGATTAGCCATTTTTGTCTACACCCAAACTTCATTTAGTTTAGTGTCAATATTTAGTAAACTAAAATTCACTAATCTTTTTATAGCATTTAGACTAGTATTACCCAATCTACAATGCCATAAATCAGCACACTCGAAACAACATTTTGTTCCGTCCGACCGGCATCCATCGACATAGTAGAAACATCGACACCGGATGTGCCTACACTCAAATTGCCGGCAACATCCATGATATTGGCAATTTACTCGAGTGACGATATTCTCACAATATATCAAATATATTCGTTTTTACGATTGTTGAAAAAAATTTTAAACCGCGAAAATATCAAATAATTATCGAAAAATAACATTCGATATCCAAATTATTTATCAGAATTAATTCAATAATCAATCGAAATAAATTCGATAATCACGATAATTTTATCGAAATAAATTCGATAATCAATTTACCAAAATAATTTTGATAATCACAATAATTTAGTTTTATCGAATTTAATTAATTTATCGAAATAAATTCGATAATTAATTTATCAAATAAATTTGATAATCAAAATAACTTTATCGAAATAAATTCGATAATCACGTCGAGTCGAGGTGGAACCTCTTTCCGTAAAAACGAATACGCCCCGGTAGTGCCTCTAGTTCGTGGCGTAACGTTCCCAAAGATAAAATGACGTTCGTCTCTGAATTAGGTGACACCTCAATATTTCGGAGCTCCAGCGAATTAAAATAAGGGGACTGAAGCTATGTCGGAAAACTAGATAATTATAGATTCCGGAGCTTGCCGAAAAACTCGCCGGAAATTGAGTGGGGTGGAGAGAATTAGAGAGGAAGAACTCCTCTTAGTGTTGTCGTTGGTATTGTTTGAAGTGGTGGAGAAAGCCTTTTATAGGCACCTCCATCAAGCGGGGCAATTAACGCCCGAGTCGAAACCGCCGTAACCGACGATAATTAAATTCCGGTAACGTCCAGCCATAAACACCATACTTAATTCCGGTCATAAACATCAATTTAATTCTGGTCATAAACACCAAATTTAATTCCAGTCATCAACATCAATTTAATTTCGGTCATAAACACCAAATTTAATTCCGGTCATAAATATATTATTTGAAT